GTAGCCTTCACAGGACATGCCTCCTTTTTACAGACCGAGGATCCCATCTGCCTCAAGGGAATATGTTACTTAACTTCATTAAAAAAAACTAAACAAGTAATAAAAAGGAAGACACAATCCGACAATCACCGCAGTGTTATACATACCGATAATCGAGATAGTTCCGTTCGTGGTGTGTGCTGCTCTCACCTGCGGTTGCCTCCTGCGCCCTGACGAAGGATCAGGACTGTCAGCAAGGGCACCGCTAAGTCTTCGCCAACCAGTAGAAGACATTCGACCTCTAGGTCGTCGCATGCGAAGACCAGACGGTGTAGTTTTGCAGAATGTTCGTTGTCTTCTGCCGCCATTTCCGATTTGCAACCGCGTGTTATCACCAACCAATCTGCGATACATGCTCCGGAGTGCTCCAAGTTTGCAATATGATCGATTTGGAACCTACTGACAGCAAGAAAACGCTATACTACCTAGATACATCAGTATTCAAATATGAGGCCGATTTAGATCCTTGGGTATTACTAAGTAATTAATAAATGCGTATAGCGTCTATTTATAAATAAACATGTTTTGTGTGTCGTTACGAAACGATTATGTACAAAGTCCTTCTATTCTCTATTAGCTAAAGAAACAAATGAAGTACGAGTGGAGCTTTGTAAGCTCCTATGAAAACGAAGTGCAGCTAAAAGATTATCTCGACGCGCAGAAGACATGGTGTAAGAACAAGAGTCAGCTGGAGATATGCAGTGCTTGTGAATACAATCTCGACATTCACTTTATGCGATATCGGCTTTTCATTTGCTCCGACGAAACTTACAAGCTGTTAGGGTCGTGTAAGTGGGTCTTGAAAGCTCTGCAGTTTCAGATCACCGATAAAATCAGTGTTTTTCAAAATCCACACCACTTGTCAGTCTCACCTGCATATCGTAAGCCCGATGATCTGAATTGCGCAATGAAGAGATGCATAAGGAGCCAGGCCGAGGTCGGATTGAAGCCGGCCGCAACAATGCACAAAATGGCTGTTGATTTGGGGCTACCGCAGACCAATCCAAAAGCACTTCTGCCAAAAGTTTAGTGTTTAGTACGCACCTACAGAAACAAAAGTAAAGTGGAAAATGATTTCGTCGATGTGATGGTTGCAAACGCTGTTAAACATCGTTTTCGAGATGGCTGCAGCGAAACCACACCATTTACATTTAGATTTTCACTTGAAAGCAATGGAGAAGCTCTAATTGGTAAAGGAACTGAAGATAGCTCTCTAGTTGTTGGGTTTTCGACCAAATCACTGGTCAAGAGACTCGGTCGAGCATCTGAATTTATTTTTCACTTGGATGCCACTTTCAAACTTAACACTAGAGGTTTTCCGGTAATAGTTATGGGTCTATCAGATATGTGGAGACAATTTCACCCTGTGGCTTTCTTTTTAGTCTCAGATCTAAAGAGTCCCCAATGGACTCGAGCAATTCGGGTATTGCTGGATTTGTATTACGACATTTCATCTCAGAGTGTATCGTTTGGATTCGTGATGATGGATGCAGATAATGCTCAACGAAATGCATTTGAAAGTGTGGCTGGTGCTATTCTTGCTTCAGATAAGCAGCCAACGTACTTGATGTGTTTCTTTCACGTGATGTCAAATGTTAGAAAACATACCGTGGGGTTCTCGGAGGCAAACAAGAGAATTGTATACAGACGTGTATACAAAATACACTAAGCGCGAACCTTGGTGGATAAACAGAGTCGCATCGACGATGCTCTGGAATCATGGAAGGTTAACACCGACTTGCAGTCATTCTCCGAGTATTTTTCGGCTCAGTGGCTGGAGGGGCGCTACAGTAAATGGCAGTGTGTGGAAACTCCGACTGGAATGGCAAAAACTAACAACCCGTGTGAAAACTTCAATCGGTAATTGAAAAACACTCATTCTATGCGCAGATTACTTCATTTGAACCCTCTTTTCATGGGGTTACTCAAAGTGAGCCAGGCAAGATCAATTTTGACAGCTACTTTTGCGACATCAACACGGGCAGCAGCCCACATTATTAGAGACTTCAGAAAATTAAAGAGAGAGCGGCTTTTAACCATTACTAGTTCAGCTCGCATGAAAATTGCTTTTCTTCTGGAATCGGGGCACAATATGGGAGAATTTCGTGTTCAACAGCTAAAAGGAGCTCCTACCGATACTCGAAAAAAGAAAACAACTGAAGAAGAGATTGAAACCACAACGGACCAAGAACTTGAAGCTGAAGAACAGTGTACTTTGGGATGGATTGTGACAGCTGAGAATGGACTTTGCGATTGTAGAACTATGTTCAAACTGGGCTCATGTGTTCATCTCGTGGCTGTTAAAGACACGCTAGGTATTTCGCTCGAGGAACGATCCGCCCGTAGAGAAACCTTTCCGGATAAGAGACCCCACAAAAAACGAGGACGCCCGAAAGACGTTGGTCACGCTTTAAGTCTTTCTTAAAAAAAACAAAAAATCATACGTCTTTACTTTCTTTTGAAATTTAAGATGTTGCCAAGCTTTTAAAAGAAGAGAGCTATGAAGTCTCCATTCCATGCGCTTTCCCAAAAACTCGAACGGTACCTGTTAAAATAGATTTATCGAGGTCCTCTGTTGTGGAAGTTTTTGTCATTTCATCTTGTGCGTCTTGAGCAACCTCCTGATATTTCACGTATGCCGCGCTAATCCGCGACACTGCAAAATTATCGGAAGGTCCATCCGTAATAGGCTCCGCTTATAGACGAAAAAACGTCACTTAAGCTTTCAACTGCGGCGACGTAGGCCTCATCCGCGGCCGTAGCCCTGTCCTTGTACTTGGAAAGCATCACCGCATATTCAGCACTTTTAATTGCAGCGTCTAACACACCCTTCAAAATTACCAGAGTCGTACGCAATACTGAGGCGGACGAGCTCTTCCTTGGATGCTACTTCAAAATAACGAACCCGAGCTTTTAGAAATCGATATTTCTTATGCATATACGATGAAGTTCCATCTGAATTGTTCTTTGGTGACTGTGAAGCTCGTTTTCGGGATTCATGTGTCGTGGTCGATATTTGTGATTTTCGTGATGAATTTATGTGTCTTTCATCCACAATGCCGGAGTAACATGGAGGAAAATCAGGATCATCAGTAGCAGCCATCATATCTCTTCAAATCTCGACAGGGAGTGATAGCCAGGCCTCACGTAAGCGGGTACCCCCTTGTCCTACTAGCCATTTCGAATCGGCGATTTTAAGAGGTGCGCCTGTTAGCAGTTTCCGCGTTGAGGCTTGCAGCTTAGCGTAACGATTGCCATCCGTCTCTGCAAACTTCCAAACTGCTTCATGAACAAACATAATTCCGGTCTTTGTATTGAGATCTCTGAGGTAAATTCGATAATGTGGTAAAATCTAAAGGAAGATCATTCATCCTCATAGATTGCTATTGATAGTGCATTCAAGATAGCATGAGTACATGGAACATCTATTAGTGTACTTATAGGTTGTACAATTCTGCCGGCAGATATACGCGCACTGTGGCTAGCTTAGTGAGACCCAGTACAAATCTGCCGGCACCTTTGACGGACACTTTGACTAGTATACTGACACCAAGTAGCAATCTGCCTGTAGTCGGTAGTATAGTGGCAGCAAGTACAATTCTGCCGGCAGATATACGCGCTCTGTGGCTAGCTTAGTGAGACCCAGTACAAATCTGCCGGCACCTTTGATGGACACTTTGACTAGTATAATGACACCAAGTAGCAATCTGCCTGTAGTCGGTAGTATAGTGGCAGCAAGTACAATTCTGCTGGCAGATATACGCGCACTGTGGCTAGCATAGTGAGACCCAGTACAATTTTTTTTGATCTAATACATTCCTGTGGATTAGATATGCTGAAATTAACCCTTTCGCGGTGCGAGGGCGCATTTTTCGCCCTTTAACACCATTACCAAAACAAGGTGGAAAAAGGGCTTGTAAAAGGGCGAATTTTGCGCCCTTTTAGCTTTTCCTCCAACTCTGCCAACCGTGTTTTATAACTACCAATCGCAGCTGTGAATAGAAAGAGGTTGGGGGTAATTTTGGATCGTCTGGTCATCGCACAGTATTTTATTGCTCCAACGACCGTAATCGGCCCTTTCTACGCGGTCGTACCATGGATCTAGCGGTCAATCGCCTGACAGCCAGTCACCAGAACATACAAAAGGCAAGACGAATGCACCTATCCGACCTCCCATTTTTCTATAGTGTACTCAAGACTAATGCGCACTACCTTCACAGACACTGAAGATAAGCTGCTGGTGCAGATCGCCTTCCAATTCGAAAGGGAGGGCTTACGAATCACATGGGCCTACGTGGCCCGCCGAATGCAGACCAAGCGGCCGGCCCGTCAACTGCGGCTTCGGCTGGCTAGCCTCAAGCGGACCTACGGAAAGGCGATTAGTGGCTTTCCGCCATGTTTTCTCCGCGGCATGCCATCAAGGCGTCTTCTCGGGGCGCTGAGGTCACCACCACCACCACTTCTCATTTTGCAGCAAGTCGTAAAACCAGCATGCCGACCTTCTGCTACTCCGTCAAATTCTCTACTTCTCGGCGGCGATCGCCGCATGCCAGGTTTGTCTGTTTTGGGGATATTTGCATGCCTTTCGTGAGACTGATGACGATAAGTTGGTGGCGATACGCATGGGAGCGCCGCCGGAGGCAGTCAGGTGACAGACGACGTGGATCAGGGAAACCAAGACTGCAGAGGTGAGGATACAGGACCCGCAGGCGGCTATATTGCGCGAGATTGCGGGGGATGCCGTCAACCACAGGTGACTCAGGCGAAAAGCGCTTCAGGTGAGTCTCGGATTGTTTGATTCACAAATGACGTCGGCAAATACTAACCTGTGTGTGTAGGTGCTGGTGTTGGGGGCTGTGGAGATAATCTGGACTCAACTGAAGCTGTCGAAGCCGTGGATATAATTTTCGGAAGTATAAGCGCTCACGACGTTCGCCAGCCCGCTGGGCACACATATGACAATGCTGGTGAGGTGCTACCGTCCGGTGTCACCCTTCTACTTGCTGCCGTCGGACCGCTCGGCGAAGCTGACGTCTTCCTTGACGTTGGAGCTGGTGTTGGCAGCGTGCTTGCACAGGTAGCACTTACAACGAAAGTCAGAACGTGCATCGGGATCGAGGTGCGAAGGGACCTCGTCTCCCTTGGACGGCGTTGCATGCAGCAGCTACGCAAGCAGTACCCACGGCTCAGTAAGGTGCTGCTCAAGCAAGTCGATGTAAGAGATGTTTCGATGTCACGGCATTCTCCCAGTTGCGAAGCCACCATTGTCTTTGCTAACATCTTTCTATTTGAAGAAGATGCTAAGCTGATTGTTTCACGAGAGCTAAGCGCAATGCCAGAGGCACGGGTGATAGTTTCAACGTCGCTCTTCTGCCCTAGACATCGATCATCGTGCTCGGAGCCGTACTGCAAGAGTTGGAAACTGGATCATCAACTAGAAGTACAATGTAGCTGGAAGGCTACACCTCATCCCATTTACATATACCGTAAGAAACTTTGATCCATTCTGCTATCTCATACTTCCTTCTAATCAGAGTCTTTTCGATGCTCATGAGTGCCGCCACCAAGAGCAAATGCAGCTTCGCCACCCAGTCTGCGTGCGGCAGGAGCAACCTGGCTAGGTGCAGTATCATCACGTCCGAGTGTAGAAGTAGCCCATACGTCATGCGAGTCACCACCGATTCCGTGCGCACTGCCGGGCTCATGAGCGTTACCGTCACTGACTGTACCCGCTCGCACCGCCAAGTCCGCGGGTGCCATCACCAAGTCTGTAATCATCACCACCTCCATGTCCTCCCAGGTCGTCGCTGACAAGTCGGCGAGCGCCACGGCTACCAACTGTATGTGCTGCACCACAAGCCCCCGCCAATCTTCGCTGTCTGTGTAGCCGAAAGCACTTAAACTGGCACCGACTCCGCTAGGGTCACCAAGGCTACGTGTGCCGGTCGACACCAGCTGCACCAGCGGCACCACCAAGTCCGAGCACCCCGTCTCCAAGTCTGCGCGCGTCGTCACGGCGAAGTCCGCGCTCGTCGTCTATGGCAAGTCTGAAAGCTCCGCCGCCGCCATCAAGTTCGTGTGTGTTTTCGCCGCCTGTGAGAACGGCACCACGGCCACGTCGGCGGGCTTCACCACCACGTTCACTAGTGCATCCGATTTCGCGAACATCAGGACGGGCACCACTAAGTCTGCTAGCCAGCACACTTTTAGGCCTATCATCCAAACGGCTGTCGCCGTCTGGTCCAGGCGCAACAAGTCCAGTCGAAAGATTGCCACTGCCAAACGCAACCAACCCTGGCGGAGTATTACCGCTAACCCCGAAAGCAGCAAGACCCTGTGTAGCATCATCGCCTTCGTTGTCAAGTGCGTGAGCGAGGGCACCTCCGAGATCTGCCCCGTACGCAATTTGGCGAGCGGTAGCAGACCGCCTTGCTACTTGAGACCTGATCTCGTGCGCATCCTTTGACTTGGCGAGTTTAGAGTGTCGCCTCACATTTCCCTTATCTGTAAACAATGCGTTAGGGTAGTAGAATTGGTGGAACTTATCCCAGCATGTTGAAGTCGTCGACGGACACATCCATGGCTTGGCGGGACGGTCGTGCACAACTCGGCACAAACAGACACCATGCGTGAGGCAATAGTTGGTTACCTCGGTAGGATATCGTCCCTCCCATCGGCAAACAATGCAGCGGCGCCGCTTTCTGCTCTTCTCGGCATGAATTTGCCTCGAAGCCACGGAAGTACCTGCAGTTGTCGGGAGCACAGCAACTACACTAGGAGAGGGCTGGGAAGAGGGCGTGTCGAGTTGGTATCCTTCTCCTCCGTCACCCAATTCTCCGCTGTACAGCATGCGACCGTCGCTGGGTGCATTCTTTCATTGTCCATTGAGAAGCTCACCAACTAGCTCCATCACAAACTTTCTATGGGGATCACGCGTTGCTGGCTCCGCCTGTACCAAACGTCGCGTAAGATACGCGTTGGAGCGCGCCACATCGATGAGCGCGAGCGCCAACTTCTTGTGCCAGCGTTTGTACGAATGACCATCTGCAGTAGAGAATCGCCCGCGTATTTGATCAAGGCGATCAACACCTTGCATATTGGTATTATACTGAGCGACGCACTCTGGAGCTGGAAACGACTGCTTCTCGTTACCAACCATGCGGGTGATAGTTGTAATGTTCGTTGAGTCCGCATTGGACACAAGGTTGACCACGTTACCGTCGCACCATGACGCTGCAAGCATGCTGTGATCGTGCGAGACAGCTTGGCGATAGTCCCCTCGGGTACAGTCGTCTTTGTGAAGAATAGTGTGACCTGGGAAATGTTTGCTGTTGGCACGGATAGTGCCGCGACCATAGAGGCCTTTCAGTCGGAGACCCTGGAGAAGCTGCACGGACGTATAATAGTTGTCCATGTTGACAACCCTATTTGTTCCGAATAGCGGTCTTGTTACCTCCAACACATGCTGTCTGATTTTAGATACTTCCTCCAGCTCCTCTCGCAGGTTTTGCGCTTCAACTTGGTCAACTACACCATTCAGTCTGTCCAAGATGTCGCTTCGGTTGCAGTGAAGTTTGTAATTCAGCGCGACCCACGTAGTAGAGCAGCACACCATGTACAGCCGGAAATGATATTTCCCAGTAGGCTTCATGGGATTATACACGATCATGTGGCGACCTTGACGCGAACGACACGCAACACTTGCTTCATCTAGCGCAACATCTCGACCAACGCGAATATACTGACCACCAGTGATCTTTAGCAGGTTTAGAAGAGGTCGGATGCGAGCTGCAGCATCTTGATCTAGTGTGTTAGGGACCGCATTGAAGCTCAGACATCGCCGCAGTAGCTTGAAGCGATGCAGCGTCATGATGCCATCAAGCGAAGTTGTAACACCACCAAAAATTAGATCCTCCGCTTGTAGACCCCAGTAATTTGCGTACTCGCCTTTATCGTTCGTTGCCATGAAGAATAGAATGCCCAGGAAAATCATGAGCTCGTCAAGTGTGAACTGCCAGCCCAATGCCATTCACCACGGCGTACTTGTTAGTTTCATGCAGCACTTGACGCCAAAAGTAAAGCGGTATGTAGGCAAAGAAGCTGGAACTGGCAGAATGCTCAAACAAATGTTTAAACTCAGGTCGCAAGTAGCTTCGTGTCGATCCATCACCGTGCTTGTACAGATACGGAGGCATCTGAACTTCTCCAGACGGAACAAAGCGCATGCTTCTGATTGCTTCAACTTCAGCGAGGCTGGTTGGAAGTAACTCAGTCGGATCGAAAGCTTCAAGTACTTCTTCTTCTTCGCAATCTGAATCATTTTCCTCAAAGTCGATCTCATCGGTGGGATCGGGACGTACGAGGATTCTCCAATCCGGGTTATTTACTCGTGTAAGCACAGTGTAGTTTTTGATGCCAACCTGCACCATCCCAACGCTGATATGCTCCACAGCGCTCTGGAACTGACTGTCTAGCCATCGAATCTGGAACAGCGAAGCGTTCTTCCCTTTTTTGACTAGGCGATACACACGACCAATAATGTACGCCGTGCCAATTGGTCTGTAGACCTTTGCTTTCATCCATCGATCTTTTTCGGGCGAAAATGCAACTAGCTTGTCCACGTAGACATCCTGCAGCATGACGGGAGGCGTACGTGTAGGAGTTGCTGTCTCAGTTGGTGCTGCGCGCCCTGGTTGTGGTGATTCTAGGCCTACAGCAATTTGGCCTTGGATCTCGCGACCAGTACTGACTGTCTGCACCGTAGTTCCACCAACATCACGGCCCCGTGCGCCTGCAGTACCAACAAACAGATTGTTACGTTGTGGTTAAAACCAATACCAAACTCATAAACACACCTTCGGATATTGGGCCGCTAGTGATTCGCGGAACTTCAAGAGCTCCTCGGCCCCCATGCCCTCCTTGTGCACCAAGTCCTTCTCGCACTGCTAGCGTTACATGCCCGGCTCTGACGGCTAAGTCGACAACACCAACTGCACTGCCGCCACCTTCAGTGCTGGCAGCGTTCGTGGCTCGAGGGCCTCCACGCCCTCCTTTAGCTCCGCGCCATCCTCGAGTTCAACCCCCTCCTCGGGTTCCACGACCGCCGCGGGTTCCACGCCCTCCCCGAGCTCCAGGCCCTCCTCCCGCTCCACGCGCGGCACCGGCACGGCCGACATCAGCCATCGCATCATCGCCAAAAGCTCCACCTGCCCCAACAACAATGCACACAGTTAGTAACTAGAACCGCACCACCGTCACTGCCTAACCCACACCTTCAGCGCTTCCGCCGCTCACTTCTCGTGAAGTGCCACGCCCTCTCCGAGCCCACGCCCTCCTCCCGCTCCACGCGCGGCACCGGCACGGCCGACATCAGCCATCGCATCATCGCCAAAAGCTCCACCTGCCCCAACAACAATGCACACAGTTAGTAACTAGAACCGCACCACCGTCACTGCCTAACCCACACCTTCAGCGCTTCCGCCGCTCGCTGCTCGTGAGGTGCCACGCCCTCTCCGAGCTCCACGCCCTCCTCTCGCTCCACGCGCGGCACCGGCGCCGGCTGCTAGAACGTCAGCACCCATAGCATCAGCACGGCAGACATCAGCCATCGCATCATCGCCAAACGTTCCACCTTGCACCAACAACAATGCACACAGTTAGTAACTAGAACCGCACCACCGTCACAGCTCAACCCACACCTTCAGCGCTTCCGCCGCTCACTTCTCGTGAAGTGCCACGCCCTCTCCGAGCCCACGCCCTCCTCTCGCTCCACGCGCGGCACCGGCGCCGGCTGCCGGAACACCAGCACCCATATCGGCGGCACGGCCGACCGCTGCCGCCTCACCGGGAGCTGCACCTGCTCCAAGATCGCCGCACTCGCCTCTTTCATCGTCGTTGGCAGCGCTGGTGCCTATATCAAAAGCAAAACAAAACACAATTAGTCCACGGCGTCTTTAGCACCCCTCAGTTCGGCCTCCGCCTTCAATACCTTCTTCAGCACCGACTTCGAGGAGGCGCGTCTTCGCAATGTACCTTAGGACGGCCATTTCTCCAAGTAGGTAGTCAGTCCCCTCTTCGCCGTCGTGTCGCCTTCCAGGCCGAATGTATTTGTAGCGTGTGTCCAAAGACTTGGTAGAAGGCTGCTTGGACGTCCACCCGGCCTTTGCCAACACTCGCCACTCGCTGTGGAACACAGCAACGTCCCCGAGGCTGCTCGCTGTCTCATCAGGTGCCTCCTCGCTACCGGTACGCACGCGTCGCCGCTTCCTTGCCATATCCGTGCCTTCATGCCTGCGCTTCTGGCCACGCGGCACTTCCGACATTTTCTGCTTGATTTACAAATGAGGGCGGGGACGGATGGACGGCTGATACGCGTCGCCTATTCGTGGAGAGTATAAGTGTACATAAATACATATATTCCATCACGACTTGTTTTTTTATATACATTCAAACAAAGAAACAATCAATTTTTGGGGTAGCTCCATAATTTGGGCGCCAAGT